GTATTCGAATAGATGATTTCTCTTCTTGTGAGTCTTGGAAAATTGTGATATTCTAGCAATTTGGTTCTTTTACATAGACCCAAAATTTGTGGGCATAGGTAGACTCATAATATTATTCATTACTTTCAGTGTCAATAAGATTATGAGTGTCAGCTTGTCTTGTGGGTCTGATATCAGTAATTTCTCTCACTGTTCATCTTATTAATCTTTTCAAAAATAGCTGCTTATTTTGTTAACTGATTTTGCTTTTTTTAAATGTCAAAGTTTTATCTTGTAATGTCTCTTTTCAGCATATTTTAGACTTAAATTATTCTTCTTTTTGTGAATGTATGTCCTAAATGCATACTGTTCTGTTGCACATCACAAAACTTAAAAGTTATATTTTCATTTTCTTTTAATTTGAAATATTTTAAAAATTTGCTTTGAGACTTCTTTTTGATACTTGTGTGAAACAGAAGATGTTATTTGAGCTCCCATCATTTGAGAATTTCAGGTTTTTTCTGTTATTGATTTCTATCTTAGTTTCTTTGGAGTTTAGGAAAGTTTCTTGTGTGACTTTAACTGTTAACTTTGTAAAATGATGTTTTGTGGTCAGAATACAGAATATATTGAAGAATGCTCCATGTGAAGGTGAGTAGAAAGCACATTCTATATTTAGTAAATGTAAGTTAGATACAGTTGTCTGATAATGGGCTCAGTTTAATCATGACCTTATTGCTTTGCTACCTGCATGAATCATCAATTACTAATTTGAAAATATTGAAGTCTGTCATCATAACATTAATTGTTCTATTTCTCCTCATAGTTCTTAGGTTTTTTCCTTTTGATTTGTCAAAGTGTTACATGCATACTTATTAAGGATCATGTATTGTTGGTGTATTAACCCTCTTTCTCACTGTGTAATGCCCTTCCCTATCCCTGATTCATGTTCTTGCTCTGGTCTGCATGAAGTTTAAATAAATACTCTTTCAGATCAGTGTTAATGATATATTTTCATATTTCTCTTTTAAAAAATTTAGCTGCATTTATATTTTAAATGACTTTCACTTTTTTAGGTAATACTTTCCTGTTCTTGAACACATTGTCCAGTTTTTCTTGGCAGCTGCTATTAAAGCAGTTGGTGTTATTTAACTTTTAGCTACATAATTGTAAAACCTGTCCCATACCCATGAATTGTGTGGTTTTGATGTTCTGTTTGAACTTTAAAACTGTCTTATTACTCCTGCAAACATGTCAGTTAAAGTTTGGAACAATACATAATACATTAGATATAGTTACCTGATAAATTTGCCTTATTATGTGTGAATTTAGTTTATTGGTTTATTTATCTAATGTGGAACAAGTCTCTTTTACGTTTACTGTAGCTGTAGATGTCAGAGTGTAAACTCTCATCTGGTGTTTTAGATTTATCTTCACTGTCTTTGGATTATTCTGCAGATTTCTTCAGTAGCCATTTCTCCAATAAGGATCTTTTTCATCTATAGTCTCTGCTACCATAATGATGACCTACTGGTGTCACAATATGGTACAGGGAACATAGTGTTTATCAACCTGACAGTAGGACCTAGTGTTTTAAAGAACTGTGCCTCCAGACTGTGAACTTGCACCTCTTCAAACCCCTCACTCCACAAAATAGACAAAAAGGTCAATGGAAGTTAATATTGGGTATTTCTTTTCCCTCACATGGAAAGCAAGAGAAATTAAAAGTTAGTTTTCTCCATTTGTCAGGTTGATTAGGTTCTGATAAAAGTGAGATTTAATTGGACTTCATAAATTAGGTTTTCTTTTTAAGTGCAGATCTTGAATGATGAGAAAGAAGCCTCAGAGAAGGTTATTTTTTTCTTGCTTTTCAGGTGTGTGGTTTGTTATGTGACTTCCGCTTTTCTAATGGATCTAAGAAATGTTGTTTATTTTTCAAATTGCTTAATTCTGTCTTTCTATGTAGAAAAAAGCAACAATTTCAAATTCATTTCTTATGAGATTAGAAACTGAAAGTATAAATTCTCAATACTATTGAGTTTCTTTTACTTTTAAAGCTCTTTATTTGATACCATGATTTCCTGAGAATTTGCATCTTCTGTTTGTGTCCTTACTTCTTTAAATAGTCTCACAAGTTTATTTTGTGTTTGTGATGCAAAATGACTTTCTCCAGAGAAGCGAGTCTATAAAATGTACACACACACACACACACACACACACACACACACACACACACACATATATATATATATATATATATATATATATATATATGCTATGATATATTTTCACTTATTATATAATATAAATTGCTGATTTAAAGGAACAATCACTTCAGAAATTTGTAGGTTGCATACTTTGGACCAGTCTGGATCCTTGTGTTCCAGTTTTTGGGCATGACACACATAATCATAAGAAGAAGCAATTAAAACTGGTGTAAATGTTGGAATGTTGGCTAACTTCTGAAGAACTGTCAGTCTCAAAGTTATTTAACTGCCCAAATAGACACACATTTTCCTACATTTTAAGAGTTCACATCACATTTTCATTGTTTAGGATTGGAAAGTTAATTTTGTATTTCTAAATGTAATAGAAAATAAACATAATGTACAAACACTGTTCCAAAAGTTAACAAATTCAGTAAATCTCATGCTTCTTTCCATATATGTGTTTATAAAAGATGCTTGAAAATTTGAAAGTATAATAATTACAAAATTATTTAAATACTGTAATATAATATTGGTTTTACAGAAAATATGTCATAGCTTAGAAATATTGTGCATTTTGTGTATTTAGAATCCCCTCATATTGAAAATAATTAAAAATGTAAATATATTACATGAATGTTTTAAACCTAACAAAATTTGAAAAATGTTTTTGATACAAGGAAAACTTAATCAGATCAATTGTTTCCTTGAATTCTTAACACAATTAGGCTTTGGAATTTTCCTTGGCTATCTTTGGCCATGTAGTATCTGACCCTTCCTCAGAAAAAGTTGTAATTTAGTTTTCGATTATTGACTGAGGCAAAAAGCCTAACCTGATATTATGTATCATAAAAAAAAAGAGCTTCACTATCCAGTGAAGTCGTTGCTGTTACTGGATATACATTTACTCCAGAACTGACACATAGCACTGACTCTTAGGTAAAATATGTGGACAGTTTCCTTTCATCTGGACAGTATACTTATGAAAAGAAAATTTCACAAGCAGAGATGTGTCCAACCTACCTGCCTCAACCTATGTACGGTTTTCTCCTCATATTTCTTCCAGGCTGCTTCTCTTCTTGCTTCCCTTCAAACAGTCCAACAGCGAGACAGAACTGATACCCATATTTCCTTGTGAGAGATTTGGCCCAAGAGTGAATGGTTAAAGTACAAGACAAAAACACACAGCTCCATTGGGGAATGACTGTTTACATTAGGGTTAGGGTTAGGGTTAGGGTTAGAGGTTAGACCTAAAATCCTATCACTTGTCTCTTTAAGACTTCAGAGCCTACTCATGTTACAAAGGATGTTTGAGAATTTAAAATACTTATATTATTATTTTATTTTAATTGTAAATTTATTTTAAAATAATTCAAATAAGTAAAATAATAATGAAATTCATTCAGCCATGTAATATTGGTTTTACAGAAAATACTCATCACTTAGAAATATTGTGCTCTTTAGGTGTGTAACTGTATCTTATTTATATTTTTAATATTTCAAAAGAGCAAATATATTATGTGAATGTTTTTAAATTTAACAAAACAATAGAGTGTTTGGTACTAGAAAAATTTGATCAGGTCAATAATGTCTTTGAATTCTTGATTCAATTAGGCCTAAGACTTTAAATGGCTATGTTTGGTCATATAGTGACCTTCCTTAATAGGAATTCTTTCAAATGGGTTTTTATTATCAGCTAAAAGAGAAAAGTCTAAGCAGGTATTATATATGAAAAAACTTAAGGGCTTCATTACTCAATATAGTTCCTGCTATTGCTTTGTACATACTTACTCTAGCACTGAGACATAGCACTGACAGTTTCCTTTCATCTGGACAGTGTACTTATCAAAAGAGAATTTCCCAGCATTTCACAAGCAAAGATATGTTCAAACTACCTGCCTCTACCTATGTACAGTTTTCTCCTCATAGTACTTCAAGGCTGCTTCTATTCTCTCCCTCCCTTCTAACAGCCCAACCACAAGACATAACTGTTTCCTGTATTTCCTTATGGGGGACTTCGCCCATGAGTGAATAGTTAAAGTGCAGCACAAAGACATACATCTCCATGAGGAGTGATTGTTTAAGACACGGGACAAAAGCACACAAATAATTAAACTGCAGAGCAACTCACACAGATTGTGAGTTGTGAGTCAACAAGTTCAACAACAAGTTTTGATGAGTGAAGCGTGTTGTATCTGGTCATTGTCCTTTCTCTCTCTCCAAGAAAAACTATGATGTAGCTTTCAGACATCTCCTGACCCACACTCCTTTCCTCTTGCTTTTTCTCTTCCATTGATATTCTCAATACAATTCAGAGAGTTCTTTGCTTTGGGGCTTTTTTCTTTCTTGTTTTATCTCATGAGAGATTCCTGAAACCTGGGAACTCTTACATGAAGAGAACTCTTCAGGACCTCTTGGTGACTGAACTAGCTCTAATCTCTGGGTAACCCTGCATCCTCTCTGCCTCTCTTGGTCCCATAATGGGCCATGTTTCAGCTCTTTGATTCTTGAGCTGCTGGAAGGGAGCCCTTGGATTGTTGATCATATTCTCATAAGTGCCTAACCTTTCAGATTGCATTCAGTGGTTTTTCTTTTTCCTTGAGAGCTTGAAAAAAATTATCTGACAAATACCAGATGACCACTCTTTCCTGGAAGCTGTGAACTCCATGTATTGCCAGCCCACAAATGTCTGTAAAGCAACTTTATCATCCCTGCCCCTGTACCACCTTGCAGACTTTTAGGCAAATCAGTTTTTAGTTTGAATGAGGTAGAAGAAAGTAAGCTGTAAGTGTAATAGACACAGTACTAGGAAGATATTTTTAGGGTAAGGAATTTATATTTTTCAAAATGTTACAAACATTGGGTGCCCTTCTTTCAAAACTGTAATATAATTCCACCATAGTGTCAGTGGACAGCATGAATAGATGAGAAGAAATGAGTCTAAAATCTGTGTTTCAGTGATCTCACACATCCGTATCCATGCGCAGGAACTTCTGGGGGGATGTCAGGATAAACGTCTCCATGTTAGTATTCATCAGAGAATGGATAATTAGGATGGGTGTTAGTCCTAAAACAAGAAAAAAAATGCATATTATGAGATTGACAAATGCATTTTTAGAATGCTAAAAAGAAATGCCTATTTTAAGTATGAACTGATTATAAAATTGGTCAAAATGAATCAATAGGAAATGCTTTTAAAAAGTCTTATCTTAATTATTTTAATTGTTATCTCCCCAGAATATACAGATATCTCTTCTTTAGCTGCTTTGTTCAATCTAGTAAAATACCATCACATTTATTCTTATTTCACATTTTCTTATTTTTAATTTTTAACTTCTTTTTATTGAAAAAAAAAGGTTAAGATAAAAGAGGACATAACAACACAGGTCAGAACAGAGCAATTTAAAGACCATAGTGTTTCACCACAAGACACCCCGACATAACAGTGGCTACCATACTGTCTCTTTCATTGAAATATTTGAGTACACCTTCATATACTATAGTATCAAACATAACAAGGCAGTGTAAAACTATTCAAGAGAATGAAAGTATTACAGGGTACTCAGAAGAAACTAACAGAAAGCAAACAATGGTTACTATATTATCTCCTTGTCCATAAAAAATTTTGTTTATACTAACATGTATAATGTAATCCCAAAAGATATAACATGATAAAACCTATGGAGACAGAAGAACAAAAGCTTGGTGGGACTTCAAAACAAGATGATATTAAGTCACCACTAGCTATTATAGTGTCTTGTTTCCTTCAAAATAGTGGTTCATACCATCGCAAACAATAAAATCAAAAAACCCAGAATAAAAACATTCTAATTATTGAATAAAAACATTATAAGATTACAAAGAAATATAATGGGGAATCATGATTACCACATATTTTTATGTATTCTTACCATTTCTTAAACTAGTGAAACTATTTGGAATTTATACATGTGACTTTGATTTATTTCATTTATGAGTATGGTCTTAAGCTGTGTCCATTTATTTATAAATATCTCAGTGTGATCATTCTTTACAGTTGAGAAATACTCCATTGTATAAAAATACCACAACTTTTTTTTATCCATTTCTCAGTCGATGGACACTTAGGTTGTTTCTAAGATCTGGCTATTACAAATTGTGCTGCTATAAGCATGGGTGCACATATATTACTGTGGTCTGATGTTTTCAGCTCTTGTGGGAATATGCCTAGAAGTGGAAGCTGGAACAAATGGGACTTCCAATCTCAGCTTTTGAGAAACCTCCAGACTGACCTCCACAGTGGTTGGACCAGTCTACTCCCCCACCAACAATGCAAGAGAGTTCCTTTTTCCGCACAGCATCTCCAGCATTTGTTGTTGGTAGTTTTACTTGATCCTAGTCATTCTTTTTGGAGTGAGATGGACTCTCAGTGTAGTTTTAATTTGCATTTCTCTGATGACTAATGGGAACTAAAGGTTCCCTGAAGCAGGCTCAAGATACCCCCAGCTGAGAGCAGCAGGAAGCTGGGAATTTGGTGCAGGCAGGCCCAAGACCTGCTGAGCTGGTTGAATGTAGCAGGAAGTGAAGTTCCCTGGCCTGCTGGGAGCAATGATCTTACATTCCTGGTGCTTGGGATGGTGTAAGCACACTCACCCCAGGGTGCTCAGTCTCCAGAATTGAGGGTGCAGGTAGACCCAAGATCCCCTGAGCTGCTTATTTCACATTTTCAATGAAGATGAATTCTCTTTTTGCCTTGTATAGGGCAAGGACGGTTTCAGATATTGCTTTAAACATATTTCAGGTTGAACAATTAAAAAGGTAGCAATTTGAATTTTATATTCCTAATTCAGCAAATATTTATTTGCTATCCATTGCACATAACATAGTGTGTTTGGTTCAGAAATGAAACTAATGTCACTTATAAGATACTTTTCCTCTCCATGGAATTTATTATATTATTTATCAAACTCTATTCTTTAATAAAATAAAATCAATTATTTAAAACAATTACTGGCTAGATAAAATTATTGCTTGCTTGACCTCTTATGCTTTATCATAATGTTAGCAATATTTTCTGTATCTTTATATTAATCAAAATATTTGTAATGATAATATGTATTATCCTACTCATCAGCATGATCACATTTGGGCTGTATAAATGCTCTTTTGTACATTGTCATCTTCATTTTAAATATGAATTAAAAATTTCCACAAGTAGATGTGGTGTAATTTCTTGTTAGGTTCAGTTACAGTATCTGTGCTTTATCATTTTTTATGATCTTAATGAATGAGATACTAAGTTCTATTGAGAGATATAAATTTTCTCCAAGAATAATTCTTTTTTTTTTTTTTTTTTTTGCAAAATCTTCCCTTGTATTCCCTCTATTTTTCAGTACTTGTGCAGTCTTTCTATTGAAATCTGTGTCCTTAAAAATCACAACTAAATGTTTTAGTGATCACTATTGCATCCTTTCTGAAGCCACATGGAATGTTTGGGTTTTGAACAGTTATATAGAGTGAAAAGCAAGGGAGAGTGATGAGATTATTAAACATATTTGATACAATTATTTCCAAAAGATGTGAAGTATAAAACAAAAGAGGCCTTTATTCTGAGAACATGGAGAGAGATATCTGACACCCCCGACTGTTGGAGTCCAGCTTTCTCTCTGGCGGACACGTGGTGTGGGGGGTATATAAGTAGCCTAAGCTTAGGGTAGTGCCCTAGGGCCATTAGAGATGCACAGATATATCATTGGCACACATTTGGCGCCAGCGGCAGATTTCTAAGAGTGGGGGGAAATAGAGTCACATGTAAATCTCTAGGAGTAGGGGAGGTTCCGGTTGAGGCTTTCCTGGCTACAGTGTCCCGTCTAGGCTAAAACCCTTTCAGTATTAAACTGCCTCATTCACTGATGAGTTCCAAACAAACACAGTGGGAATTGTTGGGTGGATTATCAGAATACAGAAGTTCCTTTTAATATGATAGAGAATTGAGCATGCTTTTAAAGATTAATTTAAACATAATTTTTGGAAATGTCTAAGTATACTGCACTGTGATGTCCACAGTGTGCACATACTTGTTGTAGAATTCAAAGGTGTGCATGCCGTATATGTGCAGAAGGATTTTGGTGATCTGGAACATTCCACAGAATGAAAAATGCAACAGCCTAAGTGTGGGAGTCCAAGCTAATCTTGGTTTTGCTCATCTTGTTGTGGGGTCAGAGAGAACACTGGAGATAATCTGAGATTTCCAAAACACTTCTGTTGAATCTTTACCTCAAACCTACAAATTTATTCCTACTCCTGAGACACCTTCAACAACCATGTCATTCTGCTCCTCAGAAAGTAAATTGAATCAGTGTATTTACTAAAGCTACTTACATATCAAAATCATCATATCGCATGTTTCTGTTCAGGCCGTCTAAGGCTTTCATGTCTTCTGAAGTCAACTGGAATTCAAAAACCTATCAGAGAAGTAGAAGATTTCTATTACATTTATATCTCATATTTTTCAATGTAAAAATTTCAGATTCATCAGATTAACAGTTCAGAAACTGTCCTTAAAATATATGAAGAGGTTCCAAAAGCTATGAAAAGAAAAACTCAAACAAATCAGCAAAAACTCAAACAAGTAATGAATACCATGTGAAAAGTAAAATGAAATTTCTTATTACACATAAAACGTGAAAACTACAGAACATTTTCAGAAAAAAATTTCAAGTAGAGATAAATAAATTGGAAGACTCATGCTTTAAATAGGATAGTGTCTTGTTCCTGAGCATTCAGAATAATCTAGAGTCAAATTTTGAAATATCATAAATTCAATAATTTTCCAATTACACTGGGATTGGCACATCCTAGTACTGAACATTCTTTTCAATGTAAGTTAGGAATTGTACAAACGGCAATGATTCCATGTGCAAAGCACCCAGGAGGGGATCTTAACCCAAAACACCAAGGGGATCTTATTGCCTCAATGTGGAATATTTTAAACACAGGAATGATTTTTATTAGCTATTAACGTTTTAAAAGAAATAGGCCTTTAAATCTAGAATAATAACTTGTGAAAGAGACAGAATTTAAAATGTCAACAATACACTGATGAATCTAAGACAGAGGACTATTCTTTGGATTTTTAGCAAATTACAAATTTCAAAACCAAAAAAAATCATCAAAAATGATCAGTACTAAAGATTTTCTTAAATATATCCAATTTGTCTTTTATGTTTCAGTTTCTAGAGATATCTTACCAGAGAAAATGTGTCAAGTTAACCTCTCTTATAAAAGAAAAATCTTAAAAATTGCAAATTTTATCACAATCATGGATTTCAAACCTTAATATTGTCAAAAAATTCTCCCCAAGTATATCAACTGCTTCAGTGTAATTAAAACAAACCTGAAGGAAAATTTGATAGGTTTATAAAGAGCTTTTCCATTTTGTTCAACACGAGAATACAACAGAAATACCTGAAATATTTCTAAATTGGCAAGTAAGTAATGAAAAATTTTATTACTTTGAATTTTAATGCAATTAAGATCAGGGAAAAATAAATATATAGGCTGATGAGGAGAAAAGTCTGAAATATACCCAAAGCTACTGGCATATTTTGATAATCATTTAAATTCACATATGAATATCTGATCTTGATTTCACATGTCACTTAAAGACCGACATTGAAAGAAAGGTAAGTATTAAAGGAAAGACAGTAAGGTTTGCAGGACAAAGTAGTAAAATATGGTTGCTTTCTCCCATATAGAAAAAAACACGATGATTGTTGATCACCAGATGAAAGCAAAGAGCATTTGATAAGAATAAGATAAGAAACTTTAATTCATAAAAACACTCCATTAGCTACTAGAGGGGAAGATTATTTCAGTAAACTCTTTGAATCTGAGAAGCATGCAATATCCAGAATGCATACATGTGGATGATTGATTTTAAAAATGCCCTTGCTCCATACTTCTCATCTCTCAGCATCCACGCATTCACACTTTCTTTCCACTACAAGTTGGTGTGACCAAGAGTGGTGATGCAGGCCTGTAATACCAGCACTTGGAGCAGAGGCAGGAGGACCACCTCAAGTGTGAGGCTGGCATGGGCTTCAAGGTGAGCTCAAGGTGAGAATAAAAGGGATCACATACCCTGTTTTTAAAATAACTAAATAAAATGTTATTCTTTTATCTTGACTGGCCTGTAAATTTCATTTGCCAGTAGAACTTGACAGAAGAAATGATGGACAAGTTTTGAACTTAGATATAAATTTGCAAATGTTCTCTCTCTCCCTTCCCAAAATAATAATTGAAGAGATGAAATATTTTATAGTTGACCAATGGAAGAAACACATATGGAGGAAAGTTGAGGCTCCTCATACCACACCTCAATAAACTATTGGAGCAGAGGAGCTTAGGTGTCAATTTCAAATCCTTCAGAAATAGAGAATTCACTTACTTTTTATTTCATAAAAATACAAAACGAAGCGGTAACTTTGTGAGGTCCATACAATACATTACTAATGGTGTGCTAAGTCCAAATTTCCCAAATCAGCCCAACTTAATTTTATTCAGACATGTAAGCATCAGCAATATTGCAGGTTAGGAGAAAACACTTAGGAGTGCAAACAAGTATCACATATACAACCACTACCAGGAATAATGACTTGACACAAAAACATGTGGAAGCCTGCAGGGCAGCACACAGAAAAGGTGGTGTGGAGGAGCCTTGATGCACAGGGTCCCACATTACCTGCATGTTCTCTTTGATTCGATTCTCATTGAAACTCTTGGCCAGCACCACAATGCCACGCTGCAACTGGTAACGCAGGGCAATCAGGGCTGGAGTTCGCTTGTGTTTTTTTGCCATGGCACAAAGAACTGGATCTTTCAAGAGAACTGGGGCATTCTGGTCCACCCTGGAAGGAAAGGAAGATATCCTGTGTATTGGGTTCAGGCTTCGAAAGCAGATGAAGTTGCAGCCGCAGACCAAAGCTTTTCATGTGAACCAAGATCTCCTCAGAAAGGCAAAGTCTATCTCTTCCCTGAGCCAGTGGAGAGAGAACTTCAGGAGATACACTGTAAAACTAACAACAATTCATCAGAAAGTATTTTGATGTGGTTCTTAAAGCTTTATTACCATTTTTTCTCACGATGGGATCCCAGGGCACTATAGGCAACCAGTATAATGTCTTTTGACTTGCAGAAATTAAGCATCTTGCTCTGATTGAGATAAGGATGACATTCTACCTGTGGATGAACAGGTAGAACAATATCAGATCATATTCCATGGCTATATTGACAGAAAAATAAAAGAAGCTGAACAAAAGAAAAATCTGTATGACATGAAATTTGAGTGGAAACAATCAACCTCAAGGTAAATTTAATTCTTGTGATTCTCCTTGGGCACAATACTAGCTACATCATTAACCAACATAGGTAAAATCAGTAAACATAGAAAAAATAAAAATTTGTTATTACATAGTGAAGGATATATGTAATAAAGGAGAAAAAGGAAATCAAAATATATTTCCTTTGATATTCATTATGTATTTTAAAATTTTTATTTGTTTTTTGGTATTGGGAATCAAGCCTAAAACCTGTGTTTGCCAGGCAAGCGATTGTGAGGCTGAACTAAAGTCCTGGTCCCAATGGTGGTCATTATTTTAATAAGTCCCCTCAAATAATTTATAATATAAAAAGGTAATATAATTTACCCTATCTTATAGGAATAATTCTAATTCATATTCACTTATTAAGTTTTAATTTGAAGAAAAATATATAGGATAATAAACACAGTAGTTTAAAACATACATAATTATTTACAATCCCTAACAAATAATTTGTTTCAGAAAACATCATTAAAACATACTAAAATCTGATGTAAAAATTGGCCATGAAATATAATTTAACTTGATGACAACTTTACCCCAGCAAGTTAGTAATTATTGCAGTGAAGGTGCATATAGTTTTAAAAGATCTCTGGCTTTAACGAGGTTAGCCAAAGTAGGAGTAGTAATTGTGAGAAAATCTGTCATTAAATGAGCATGTTGCAATGGATGAAATTTTAGGATCAAAGCATGTAAAAGAAAACTCAGATTTAACTTCTAATTTCCAGGAACTTGGAGTAGAGAAAAAACTCTCAAACATTTGAGGGCAACAACATGGTAACACTACTGATTTAACTTGCCTAGATAACAGAGTGAAAAACACTGACGATCACTCTAGATTAAAAGAGCTTGAAAATATTACCAAATGTTGGAGGCTAAACTACTAATAAATCATCGATAAAAATGAAATGCACAAGATATTTTGGGAAAATGGTGGAATTTTTTGGACAGGAAATTAAATGAAACAAGTAATCATTTGAAAGGTATTAATTAATACCTCAGGTAAGTAATGCTTCTATTTGTTCACTTTTTGGTTAGTAGAACAAAAATATTCCAGAAAATTTTGTTTTCATGAGTGAACTTCTCTTTGGGTGAAAAATGTGACTATGGTCATCTTTCCCAAAAACCGTTAAACAAATTAAGATTGTAAACTGAGATAAAACTGTAATTATTTTTGGGAAGCCATTTTTTGTCTTCTCTCTAGAGATGGAATGTTATATCTGCAATGTACTTTGCACAAGTTTAGCCAAAGTGAATCATACATTTGTATGTATACCAACATAGATTTAACTACACTTTGCAAGATAACAAAATGTTAACACTTTTGGATATCAGTAGGTTAATATAGATCTTTTGTTGGAGACCACTGCAAAGCAGCTCTGAGCAGGATTTAAATTTTACTAATTGGCTTCCTATGTTTATCTGTGAGTCTGTCCTAGGCTTAGGCCCCTTGCCTGGTGATGGATGCTGATTCATAGTAAGTGAACTTCTATGAATCGCCACTGGTCCTGGTTGAGGCCTATAGTGGCCTGTGAGGCCAAAGATACCTCAAAGGACAAGATAAGGTCACAGCTGTGGACACTCTGGCTCCAACCTCAGTTAACAAGGTAGAAACTGCAGCTGTAAAGATTACTCCTACAGTCTCACTTCTACCATGTCTTCATGATAAGACAGCACTACTGAATTGACTTGATTCATTACTTGGAGACGTCCTTGAAGTGACTCCCAACGTCCTGCTCATTGCCTGCACTTTCCTCAGTTTCTCCACCATTTGTCCTTTGTCCTAATAAGTGGACTGATCCAGAGAATGCTTTGTCTTTACCTTCGAAGCCTCAAGCTTAATTAAAGGGTTTTGACCCTCCTGGAGCACCACAAATCATACAATTTCTCACTTTTTATTTATCCTCCACCGTACACTCATTTGGAAGATCAGGGATCTAGGACAAAACCTAATAATCTTTTATATAATTTTTCAAATAATTCTAAATGTATGAACATAAGGACCATAACAATGGATAGCACTTTAGTTTTTAATATTTATATTTGAAATTAAGGCACTCTGTCATTATTTACCCTGTTCATACAATTTTAAAGTATATTTTGCTATCATTATCATTTAGTACATGAGTGAAAGCTTTTAATTAAAAAAATAAGTTAGTGCCGATGCATGCACATAATAGCCATGATTAAGGTATAGAACTGATGGTAGAAAACAGACAGAAACTGACTAAGATGAAATCAATCAACAGACAACACTGGTAAAATTCCAAAATGTTGATTTCATCCACTATTAGGAAACAGATGGCTTCTTTCCTCAACTTGAAAGGCTTTCAATTTTTCAGTTAATTTTCTCGTAGGCTGTGTCTCTGGTCAAGACTGATGAAAGAGGAGATGCCAGGATGTAGGAATTAAGCTTTAGCACTCATATAAATCTCCAGCATGTGTCTTATTCTCACTTCAGCCTTATTTCTTATCCATGCCATGTTTTTTGACAAATTTTCTGATACACATTTCCCTGACTTTTTTTTTTCCTGTTACACATTTTGACCTATTTTCTGATACACATTTCTGATACTCAGTCCTTGGCACAGAGCTTTAGATCACTCAATGTGCAGTCATCCATCATAGTTCATAGGGAAGTATACCTTTCCCCTGAGATCTTAATACCTACTTCAGGTTACCATCATAGCTTTGAGATTGGTTTTTTTTTTTAAAGAGAGTAGAATTAAACAGAACAAAACAGATCATAAGGAAACTATTTTAGGAAACATATATTTCAAAGCAAGACCACTGGAGATCTTCACTGTCTTTCATATTGTCTCTTGTTTTCTTCCAAATAGTTGTCCACATCTTCACATACAGTGAATACATACTGAACAATATAGCACTAAACAATCAGAACAGGATGATGAAGGCATTTTAGGTCTTCAAGACTAGACAATAGGGAAGTCAACAATGGCTATCATAATCTCTCATTCTCTTAGAAATAGCTGTCCATATCTTTATGTATGTTGAATTTAAAAATAAGAGACTAGACTAATATCACTCTGAACAGTGATTAATAGTATTGTTAGATTTTATATCATATTGCTATAGAATTAGCACTGTATCTTAGTGTCACTTCTGCAGAGTATCCGTTCATTACATTGTGTATTATAGAATCTGTTCCCATCAACTGTTTAGAAATTCTCCACATGTGTGAATCTCTACATGTACATTTATCCTTTCTGTATTATAGGGAAAACAGATAAAATAGAAATTTTGATAAAAACACAACATTGGAGATATAAGAGGACTTCAAATGCAGTTAATAATCAAACCAGGATGGGTATCTTTTACATCTTGTCATCTTCAGAGTAGTGCCTCTACTTTAGACTTGAAAATATCAAGCATACCAAATTCGAATAAAGTAAGTCAAGACAAAACAGCAGTTTAACAAACCAGATTCAAATATGATCAGTCATAGTAAGACAATGTAAGTAACACTGGGCTTCAGTTTAAGTTAATAGGAAATTAAAGATAGTTACCATAGTATATCCTACTATTTTGGGGATTACTGCCTTTGCCCTCAAATCTAGCATGAGTAGACAGACTGGAACAGAATAAAATCAAACTAAACAGAGTGATAAGACTAATGTGGCTTTTAAATCCTGATACACTATTAACAATCTCCTCTGTCTTCCTTTTTTGAGATAATTCCTCCCCTTTTCCTTTCTCAGGGTGCTTTGTATATTTTGGGTCCCACTAACTCCTTTAGTTTTTAGATTAGGGGGACAACCGATTATCTACATGGTGCTGAAACTTTTTACTCCTGAGCTTGATCTTGAGCTGTTTTCCTTTACTTATTAAAGCCTCAGGGTTTTCTTTCTTTCTAGCTGAGTAGTTCTTCACTGCACAAAAGTGTAATTACTCTCCAATCTATCTACAGCTGCTGGACAAGTTGTCCCTATTTCTCTCTGGTTCCCTGTCACATAGAGTATCATTTTCTCATCATTGACTTTCATTTTATTAACCTCTTTCAGGTTGAGTATATTTCCTATTCAGAGCATCTCGAAGAATCCTATCTCCTGATCTACTCTGCCTGTGTGTCTTTTTATTAGTGTGACAAGGCCATCTATATTAGAGATTATAGCCACCCTTCTCTGCCTCATCTCTGCTATTCTATTTTTCTGCTATTATTTGTCCACTTTTCTCCTTCATTCCACTGTCTGCCCCATTCATTGAGTGTTTTCTGCTACTAGAATGGTAGTATTTTTTTCTCTCTCTCTCTAGAATGTCCTTCAGTATTTTTTGTAGGTTTGGATTGGTGGTCACGAACTCCCACAGTTCCTCTTTGTCATGGAAACATCTTGTTTCTCCATTAATTTTGAGAGAGAGTTTTTCAGGGTACATTAATCTGGGTTGGAGGTTATTTTCTTTCAGAACTTGGACTACTGCACAGCAAGCTCTTCTTCATTTGACAGTTTGTGTTGAGAAGTCTGTTGTGATTTTGATGCATTTTCCTTTACAGGTAATCTGTTTCTTTTCTCTGACAGCTTTTAATATTCTATTCTTGTGTTGAATTTCTGGGATCTTGATTATTATATGTCTGGGTGTAGATCTGCTTTGGTTATAGTTGGTTGGAGGTCTGTATGCCTCATTTATCTGAATACCATTCCCTTTTCCTATGCTTGGGAAGTTTTCCTTAATTATTTCAGTGAATAGCTTTTGTAATTCATTTGTGGTTACTCTTGCTTCTTCACTCACTTTTTTATATTTTTAAATTATAGATCCTCTTGTCATCTTCTATCCTTTGTATTGTTACTTTCTGGTTCCCCATTATTTTTAAGAGGTCTTTTCTTTCATGATCACACATTGCAAATCTATTTTCAAATTTTGAAAGGCTAACTTTAATTTCTTTCAAGGCATTTTACCAGCTTTCAATGGAGTTTTTAATTTCCTGGTTATCTCTTTAGATCTGTTTCATGTATGGTAGATTTTGTTTATATTCTTCACTGAAGGTTTGTCTTCTTTTTCTGGGTTTCTCCATTCTTTCATCTGTGTTTTCTTGAGAGGGGCTTAGCATTTCCTTTATTAATCTTTATATCTTGCCTCACTTGGAATAGAATTTCAATTTTAAGTTCATCTGTGAGGTCATGAAGGTATTTCATTATGCCCGCTGATGCTATGACTGTCATTGCATGATTGCTGCCCTGGATCTCTTCTGTATTTACCTCTCTTGCACTTATTTTCCCAGGGTCCATGGCTGGAAGCTTTTTCTTATTTCTTTCTTTTGTCATGATCCTGGTTTCTTTCAGACAGTTGTATGGTGGAGGTCTCAGGCCCTTTCTGTATTGCTTTTGGTTTTTCTGAAGTATGCTTGCTGCCTTCTCTAGTTTACTATTTTCTGAGGTGCATGCAGGGATGCTGTGGACTAGCCCCTCTTTTCTGAGGCAGTCAACTGGTGAGAGCCTTCAGCATGTTAGTCTGTACTGTGCACACATGACAGATTCAGAATAGTTTCATCCCTGGCTATTGGGTCCTCACCAGGGGCATGACACAGCCCAAGCAGATCCCACCAGTCCTCTTTGGGCCAGAAGCAGCTGACTGATACCACTGCTTTCCGGGTTAAGGCCTGTCCTGCCCAACTCCAACATGTCCTCCTGCTGGCCACACCTGCTGTGGAACCCAATTTCCAGCACTCTCCATGAATTAATGCAGCTCTCCGATTGGGTCCACTCTACACCATGCCACATCCTCCCACCAAGGGCCCCAGACTCACAAACTCCCAAATTCCCAATTTCAGCAGCCAAGGCTTTAGTGTCACCATGAATTGTCTGACTCCGAAGCTCACCCAGCACAGTGCAGGACTGGTCCCAGTGAGTGCATCTGGTTCCAACCCTTCATCCACATTTTTCCTTCCTTTCTTTTTCTTTTTTCCTCAGTTTGTTCCTGGGTCATGAGGATCTCTCTCCTTTCATCTGGTCTTCTCCATGTTAAATTCTAGTGTCTGAGTTGTTTTTCTCAGAGAGGCTCTCTACCCAGTTACCTATCAATATCCCACATTGATAGATGATTTACACATCTCAGCCCTATGATATTCAATGCTTTTCCATTAAAATGTTGCAAATCAGAAGTTGAATTAAGAATTTGCTACATCTTCGATTGTACAAAATTAAGATGAACAGAAGAAAAATACTTATGGAAACCTAGCAATAGCACTGGAAAAAGAACAAGAAACACAAAGAGCTCAGGAAGTTAAGAGTGCTCACCTGGTTGCACACAGGCTTGTACTTGAGTCCAGGCTTGTTCAGAATCATCTCCAATTGCCTACGATTAAAGTTGGACACCCCAATAGACTTGGCCAGTCCTAAATCTTTACACTTCTCCATGACCTTAGAAAAAGATTGTCAAAAATAGTTTGTGAAAATGGTTACATACTGAGGTGTGATGCATATTCAAATAATCCTGTTAAAAGGAACACTGTCAAGAAATGAGTAAAAGGTGATTGGAAATGATGCTAAGAAAATAATGGGGGAAGATAACAAATGGAAAAATTTTGTGTCATCCTTCAGAGTGTCAGAGGTACTATATATGGAGGAAAAGAGATGACAGCATTTTCTTTTCCCAAATGATCTTTCTCATGTTGTTGTAATACATTCCTGCTTACAATGTGATCAGAATAACCCTTGTAAATGTCAAGAATTTCTTGATCCAATAGATCATAACACACTTTCAGAGGTCGAGTTGTGATATTTTTCTTGGTCTCTGCCCCCTCTCACATATCTTCCCCCTCCTTCTCTCCCTATCCACTAAATTCCTTCTCCTTTCTGCTGTCTATTTCAAAGTACTCACCTCCCAAGTGGCACATAGATCCACCATTTCAAGTATTAGTTTTCCATGCTCATCTGTTGGAAGCAGGTCCTCCCCTGGCTGGGACAGAAGAAGCCATTTCATGTAATTTTTATCTGTTTATATATATATATATATATATATATATATATATATATATATATAATCCCTGATAAATCTAGGTTTGGAACACTAATCTTCCATGAAGTAAATATAACAATATTTCGGAGTTATATTTACAAAATATTTTGGTTATAGTGTTTTTAAGGATATTTTAAGTGAAATGCTTTATTTTCTCCCTGATGCCATTTAAATGTTTTAATATATAATGTGGTCTTAGGTGTGATTATGTGCTATCCTAGTGATTAATTGTTGCTTTCAATGTCCCTGTACTTATTCCTGGAACAATTTTTCTTTTTAATTGGAAAAGTCCTAATTCTGGCTAAACAATCAATGTGTATCTCCAACCCTGAGCATATGAGTGCTCAGAGACAGACATGTGAGTCAAAAATGATCCATCACGGAGGCGCTTGAATCCTGGGAACTGAACATCAATTATTTGATCCATAGAACATGGGGGAAGCTTTGGTATGGTGGTCCCAGCTTTTAAGAGCATGCCTAGCATCCCAAATCACCAGAGGACACACAGCATGCCTCTGAAGGCTTAACTGGGCCAAGCCTAGTGACCTTTATGTGACTAGCAGGACCCAGGAGCCAAAAGTTGGCGAGGTGATTTTCAGCACATTGGGAAAGCTTTGAAATATCGCTCAAAACTCAGAAATATAGGAAAATGACAAACTGAAAGAGCAAAATGCAATTTCAAACATCCAGCCCAACACTCACAAGTCTAGGAGATACTGAATAGAAGAAATTGCAAGCCATACACCTGAAATTCCTGAAATGATAACAACTGAAATAAAGAAACAACTCTGGGAAGATGTAATGGAACTCAAATCAAAAATAATCTCTCAGGTAAAAGAAGAAATGATAAATGCAAGGAAAGAAGTGCTGAACACATCTGAAGAAGATATAGTTAAAAAATTGGAGGAACAATACAAAAATATGGAAACTCTGAATGAACAATATAAGAAACAAGCAGAATATATGAAGCAGATTTCATGAGATGTAAAGGAAATCAAAAATTCCATTGAAAGTGGGCAACTCTGCCCCAACAAAAGTGAAGATAGAATTTCAGACCTTAAAGACAAGATTACAGGTAGTAAGCAGGAAAGAAAAGATCTTTTAAAAATAACAAGGAATCAGAAAATAACAATTCAACACCTGCAAGATGATGCAAAGAAAAACATGATATTGATAGGAATAAACAAAAAGGAAGGTGACAACATAAATGATATCAAGACACTATTAACAGAAGAGTTGAAAATTTACCAAACATGAGAATGGAAACTGATATACAGATCAGTGAAGCATATAGAACTTCAAATAACCATAACCAAAATAAAACTGCACCCACTCATATAATAATCAACATCCCAGAAATTCAACATAAGAACAAAATATTAAAAGCTGCTAGAGACAAGACATATCACCTATAAAACAAAGCCTATCAGAATCACAGCAGAGTTCTCAACACAAACAATGAAATCAAGAAGAGCAAGGAATGAAATATTTCAGGTCCTAAAGGAAAACGACTTCCAACAAAACTGATGTGCCATGTAAAACTGTCCTTCAAAATGCATGGAGAAATAAGATACTTCCATGACAAAGAACAACTGAAGAACTTCATGACCACCAAACCAATCCTGCAAAAAATACTGAAAGACATTCTAGATCAACATAGGGATGAAAACCACTAAGCAAGGTAAAGAATTAAGCAGAGAGCAAAGGTAAAGTATCAATAGCAGAAAGATAACATGTCATAAGTAAACCAATATATATCAGTTATAACTACTATTGTAAATGACCTCAATTCACCAATTAAAAGAAACATACTGGAAGAATGGATCATGAAACCACATCCAACCATATAATGTATACAAGAAACCCATCTAACCTGAAAGGAAATTCATAGACTGAAAGTCAAAGGATGGAAAACAATTTTTGATGCAAAAGAATCCCAAAGAAAAGCAGGAGTAGCTATTCTGTTTTTAGACAATGTAATCTTCCAACCAAGAATGATCCAAAGAGATACAGAGGATCACTATGTACTAGTTAGGGGAAAATTTCAAAAAGAAGAGATAACAATGTTAAATATATATGCACCAAATTTGGGAGCATGCAGCTATACAAAACAAATATTAACAGAAATGAAAAATCAGATAAGCAATAACACATTTATAACAGGAGACCTTACCATGCCATTGACACAAAGAGACAGATCAGCTAGAAAGAAAATCAGCAAAGAATTAACAGAACTGAATCACACTTGTGAACAAACGGACTTGGTGGACATATACAGTGTGTTCCACCCAACAACATCAGAATATACATTCTTCTCAGAAGCACATGGAACTTTCTCTAAAATAGAACATATAGTAGCCCACAGAATATTCTTAAGTAAATGCAAAATAGTGGAATTTATCCCTTGCATATTATCAGATTTTAGCACCATGAAACTAGAAATTAATGACAAAAGAAACTGCAAAAATTCCACAGACACAAGGACATTGAATAAATACATTTCTGAGCAAACAGTGGGTCACAGAGGAAATTCAAGAAGAAATTAAACAATATCTACAAGCAAATGAAAATACAAATACATCTTACAGGAACCTGTGGGACACAATGAAAGCAATCCTCAGAGGAAAACTTATTGTGGTGAATTTCCACATCAGGAAAGCAGAACAAACACAACCAAGCAACCTGATGCTACCCCTCAAATATCTAGAAAAAGAAGAGCAAATCAAGCTAACAGTCAAAAGAAGGGATTAAATTATAAAGATCATAGTGGAAATCAATGCAATAGAGTCTAAGAAAACAATACAAAGAATCAATGAATCAGAGTTGGTTCTTTGAAAGAATAAATAAAATCGATAAGCTCCTAGCCATCTTAGTCTTTTGAAAACTCTTCTCTCTTTTTTTTTTCTTTTTTGCTTCTAGATATGAGAGAAGTATTATCTACTGTGAAAGAAAACATTTAAATAGGAAGATAGATAGTATGCAGGAATATGAATGACTCCTCAAAGAAAACTTGAGTCATTGATTGGAAAATGGATTCAGCTTGATGCTATAATACGAAGTTAGGTAAATGAGATGCACATACTCAAATGTCACATGATATATTTTCTATGAGAGAACTAAAATATAAATAAATTGTGAAATATAAGTTGGACAGTAAGTAATAGGAATGAATTTTTAGCATATAAAAGGAGGAAAGAAGAGAAGGAAAGTGGGATTTTCCAAAAGTGAGTGGTTGCAAAATGTCCTATACATACATTCAGTTTCTACCAAGAATTTGATCATCAGGAGCTACAAATATGTATGTATGACAGGTTCCAACAGATGTGAAGATGGTGAAGAGAAGGAGAGAGTTTAAAAGGAATCAAGCAATGGCATATCCACATACCAAACACTCAAGATAAATATGTATTACAAGTGTGCACCAATATAAAGCATAAAATAAATTTCCCTGTAGTCAATATCTGACAAAAAAATAAACAAACCAACAAAACCAAAACCAACCATCACCAGCTATGGATTGTGGAATTGCATGCAATGTCCTAGTGCAAGGAAATTCATTTGTGTTCCTCTATGAAAGGCAGTTGAGTTCAGCACACATCCTAGAACACAATAAGGAAGAATGAGCCTTTAATTTCTTTTAATGCATGTGTACATAGACCGTTTTCAGCAAAATACTGTGGGCTCTTCCCACTAAGGCATAGATCCAAGTATTATGATGAGAAAATAGAATTCTAACTACATATAATACTTCAAAATAAACACTTCCTTAAATTTCTGGTGTCCTGTGCTTCATTATGTTTTGAAATTTCCTATACCAGCATGCCACGGGGCTAGGAAAGTACAAACATGACAGAGAAGTTTCAATATTTTCATGTTCCCTATATGTAAAAATACACTGAGATTGTTACAATTCCTATTGTTAATAATTACAAAATAGGATTCAACATTTACTTTATTAGCCATTAATATTTTAAAATATTAAAACAGAAATATTTATAAGGTAAGGTCAATGTTTTGGGTACTAGAATAAGCTCTTGATTGTACATTCATTTAATCTCCTCTCTACATTATAATCTATGTGAAGTGATTATTTTTTGCAGGTAAAAAATGAAGTCACAGAATTAAGAAACCTTCACCATATAACAAAGCTAACAACTGACTAAGAGTTTAGAGCTACCCAGTGCAGCCTGCCAGTGCAGTACCCTTCACTACTGGGCCACTTCTCACTTATGGAGTTATGGTTCTGTGTACTGTTCTTTGTTTAACTTTGTTCAGAAATTAGAAAATAACATTGAAAAAATAGAGTTTAAAGACTGAATTGAAGACTAAGTTATTTTCAATAATAATTCTGATACAAAAAGATACTGAGAAATCCTCAAGTTTAATATTAATAAGACTTTTATAGTAAAGGTCCATTTGTCTATAGTACAGAAGGGACTTGACAGAAAGCAAGGAGACCTACATTAGCACAAGCATGGGGCTCACAAAAAGAGTTGACTCTGAAGATATTTTCACATCTATCAATGTACGCATAGGAGGGATGCTCCATTTACAAAATCCAATAAATTGTTTTTTATAAACTGGTTTGAAAGTTGTACACAGCACAGAAAATTTATATTAATTTGTGAGAGATTAATTCAGTCAACCATGCAATTCATGGTCACACTGACAGCTACAGTTAAATAGAACCGATGATGCAACTTGCCTACCTTCATGGACACTGGGTAATGAATCAGATAGAGGTCCACATAGTCCAGCTGAAGTTTTTTCAGTGAAGTTTCCAAGCAAGATTGGACCATCTCAGGTCGATGGAATGTGCACCAAAGCTAGAGAGGTTAAAGGTTGGATAGTATTATGTAAGTTAACATATTAACTAAAATTCTTGATTTCATTTCCCTGAAATTGACACTTTTTTACTCATTTGAAACAGATTAACAAAGAGGAACAATATTAACTTCTATTCTAAATTTATCTATATTGCATCTATTCATGTATACTCAGGCAGACGTTTGGTTAGTACTAGCAAATATATGGAATAATGGAAGAAAATCTCTCAAGAGATAAAGTTTTATCAAATAATAATTGATAATTCTGAGTTTGTGTCTCACAGAAGGTGACAAAATAGTTTAATAGGCAAATTCCTTCACCAATTGAAATAAATTGGAAAGAATTAGTATGAAACACTTCGGACTTTTAATAAGTGACATATCTAATAAAAGATAATTTAGTAAAATTTGTGTAACACCAAAGGAGCAATCTAACACTGTTGTCTTCTGATACTAACCAATAAGAATTTCTAAAGGTAAAAGTTCATATTCAGACTGTTAACCATGGTAAGACTTCCACAATATGATAAAATAGGCTATAACTTGAACGAGGTCTTTCTGAATGCACAGCTGATGTTGAATTGCACTGCTTTAAGTTGAAGCTCAGAAACTAAAGAAACTTCATATTAGAGTTGCAAATGTGAAAATTGAAAGTCATCATCCTTCTCTGTTTTCAGTATTGGATGTTATATATTGAGTAATGATGGACCAATATGTGTTATTTATGAATCATTCCTAAAATTAAATCATGCAAATATTACCTCAATGCATCACATTTCATTATGTTTTTACACCTGCACACAATATGCACAATACCTTTGAAGTATAAAATATGTCTTCTCTCTTTACTGTGCCATCTGCAATCTTGCTTCGAATAGCCAGCCCCACCTCCTCCTCATTTTGGTAGAAATAAGCAGAATCAATGTGGCGGAACCCAGCATCTATAGCTAATTTAGTGGCCACTCTTGCCATACTCTTTGGTACCTAGAAGGGAATTCAACGGTAGTGTTTAGAGATTCACATGGTGTAGAGTTTCAGAATAAGCAGAAACTTCAGGAAAACAACTTTTCCTCGTGTTTTGAATTAGTTGTACATTTGTGATGAACACATGCTAGCTTGACTGGGTCTTCTATCTTCATAACAAGCATAGTGCATTTCAAGTACTTCTTTGATCCCAAACAATTACTAGAGGAGATCTCCAGAAATTGCTTCCCACTCAGTGATTTAACTGGAAAGACACACAGGACTGAGCACATACTTAGAACAATGGTTAATATTCATGCAGTGAAGCAACAAAATTAGTATCCGAAAAGGAGCCTGCAGTGACATATAGAGTTCTTTCCAGGAAAGATAAAGTTCTTTCCAGGAAATTAAAAAATCAAAATGCTTAACTCCTCCAGCACTGAACATAGAGGGCTTATGGGAATTTTGTTTACAAGTAAAGCTTTTAGAGATACTATTTTTTATTATTTTCACTGAGAAGATATTTACAGAGACTCTTCTGCTGGCTCACTCTTAATTTCCTGTTTTCCAAATGATAGCAACTTTACAAATATGCTACTATTTGTCCAAGCAGTTCAAGGATGGACACTGACCTTATCTGTTAGAACAGTGAGATATCAAAGTTATTTCAAGTTATCAACTGGCCACCTTGCAAGTGAACAATTCAATGAACAGCATAGTGTTATGCTAAATTTTTCAAACAGCAATTCCACATACATAAGTAAATGCTACCAGTAAAGACCTGTACTCAAAAGTTATAGTAGGTTCATGCCCAAGGAATTACTTACATTATGCATTGTATTGAGTTGTGTAAGTGCCAATGCTTAAAATTAAACTAAAAATAATGATTTCTGGGAAGATATAATTAGACTAAAATTTAAAATTACAAGATTTCCTAACATGCTACTGAGACCCTCTTATAACAGTTACAAATTTAGAGAATTATGTAGAGGTAATTATTTCTTCTAATGAAATTAAAATAAGTAAGATAATGAGTCTTTTAGTCCTCTTTTGATGCCTTAGTTCACCTGATTTTCTTAGGCATAAGCGTGCTCACATGGTCAGCAAGTATAATGAATATCCATCAGATGGTTATTATGACTGAGAAGATTTATGTTTTCTACTTAACTATAGAACCAACTTAAACATAAACAAAATCCATTGGCCAATGTACTTTGGAGGCCAGTGCCCTACCTATTAGAGAAACAAGACAGTATAGTTGACAGGCAAGTGCATACTCAGATCTTGATGTAAAGCAGTATCTAGCCAACTTCTCTGTTCTGCTTAGGAAAGAGCTCTACCCTGAGAACAATTTGATCCCCCCATAAACATGCGGGAGTGAGTCTCCAGTGCCAACCCCAGTATTGTTACCTCTTCTGGAGCATAGGTACCAAATCCCAGGACAGGAATGACATGACCATCATTCAAATTCAAACACTGCTGTTTGGAACTCATTGTTGCTACACCTCTGATTAAACAGATTCTGTTTCTTCTTTAACATCCACAGGGCTCTAAATAGGAAACAGTCTTAGTTCCACCCACATGACTTCTCAGTAGCCAATGGCATGTAGAAGGATTGATCAGTGAAACACTATCCCACATCTGAGAGATTTAGAAAGAATTCAGAGGTTTTATGTAATAGAAAATGTTAAATAGCTTAGTAAATGGTAAAACAGAAATTATTAGTTTTTAATACATTTTCCCTTTAGAATTTTTCATATATTATTTCAGATTGTTCAATTGATTGTATACTTATTGACCTATTTGGCTAAAATACTATAAATACAAATTTTTCTGTTGTTCATAATTATTAAGAACACATTGAAATTCCTTCTCAAGCAAATATTATTTGAAATAATAAATTATCTTAATCTGCTTCTCCTTTTCCTTACCTCACATTTTTAAGAGAGCTTGAAGAAGAAGAAATCTTGAACTTATTATCTAATTATATGCTTCGTATTTCTATGTGAAGGTGAGCGAAGTGCCCTGATCACTTCCAGCAAATTAAGATTTTGCTCTCTTCTTTACTTCAGACACACTCTGCTGAGACTATCAGAAAGTAACGTAAGTCACACTAAATCTTTGTATTTTTATGTTTAAAAAGAGTGTAGATATTTGATAGGAACTTGAAACTTAAGTTAAAATAATGATATGAAAATATTAAAATATGAGCAATTGTTATGTTATTAAACATTTATTTCAAGGAGTTCATATTAATCCTTAAATAATTGTCAAAGCTTAAATGTTTAAAACTTAATTCTACATAGTTTTTCTAAGTTTAAAATATTGACATTCAGGGCTGGGGATTTAGCTCAGCGGCATAAGCGCCTGCCTTGCAAGTAGGCACTCATGAGTTCAATCCCTGGTACCAATAAAAAGGAAAAAAGACAAAAAAAAATTGACATTCTTCTATTATGTTTTTTTATGAGCAATTTTATGCTAAGTGCAAGCAACTCAGCTCTGCAAACTGAAAATGCTCTTTTTATATAGTATACATAAATTTTCTTACATTATTCAATGTGCGTAATATATATTTATAATCTATGGGATCTTTCATTATATTTAACTTACTGTATATGAAACATTTAAACCCTGGTCATTCTTGGTAAATATTTGTAGAGCAATGTCGTGTATCATGGATGAGAACCAAGGCCTTCACAGATCTGTCTGGACATTAGCCACTGTTTCTGGGTCCATAGAACACTCAAAATATATTTTTAGGTGGTGCTCTTTACTTGGGTTTTATTTTTAAAAGTATTTTAATTTGTATCTTTTTATTTTAAAATGAAAAAGAAAAAAATGATAGAATTCCAAAACAAAATAATATGTGATCAACAATAGTTAACATAATGCACATTGTCTTTAAAGTAGTTGCTCAGATTACAAGAGACAGGCATGAAAATATGTTCAAGCAATAAAGCACAAATCATTCTTTTTGATGAAATAACAGAAATTAGTACTATAATTATCTAGGATGTATGTGTGTGTGTGTGTGTGTGTATCTGTATCTGTAAAATATATGTATTAAAACTTTTCCCTTACTTGTTTTCTCTTTTTCCTCATCCCAGTTATTTTTTCCTTTTGAACAGTTTGTCCCACTTTCACTTTCACAATATCTAATGTGCATTTTGGGATTCCATTTACTCTTTCAGTTTTTTATACTGGGGAGACAACATGATATTTACACCTGTGAGTCTGATTTATTTCACTTACGTGTATGTCCTCAAGTTATCGATTCTCCAATAAAAGTCTTGAGCTTATCATTCTTTATAGCTGAGTAGTACTCTTGATGTATAAATAATAAGGGTTATCATGTGGAATTTGTACAATTACAGGATACACTTTGATTCTTTTTTGCCCATTTCCCACCCCTCCTTTAATTCTTTTTCCTCTTGTAATTTAAAAAGTTTTGTTTCCAATTTTTTCTTCTATTCTCTGTTTTTTCTTTTTCCTTCCTTTCTTTCCCCTACTGTTTCCCTCTTGTGCCTTAAATTCCATTTGCCCTCCTTATTTAAATGGCTTTATTCCAGTTTTTCCTTCTGTTCTTTGATTTTTCCTTTTTTTTTACTTTACTTTTCCCCTTAAACTCCACCTAGTTCTCCTTCTCAATTGGACAGTTTTTTCCTGTTTTACAGTATCTGCTAAAAATATTGATTCTTGTTTACACTTTTGGTTTCTCAAACTTAGAGATACCAGGTAATACGGGAACATGTGTGTCTGATTCATTTCATGTATGAGTATGATGCTAAGATGCATACATCTACTTAGAAATGTCTCATGTATATCCTTCTTTATAGCTTAGCAGCACTCTCTTGTATAAAACAAAGAAATCTCACATCTTCATTATCTATTCATCAGTTAATGGGCATTTGTGATATTTCCAAGATTTAGCTATTACCAACTACACCACTGTAAAAATGAGTATACATGTGTACCTGTGGTATGATGCTTTTGACTATTTAGGGAAGATACTAAGACAGAGACTAGCTGGCTCAAATGGGACCTCTAGTTCTAGTTTTCTGACAGAATTTCATACTATGTTTCACAGTAGTTGCACCAATTCACATTTCAACATCAGTGGAGAAAAAATTCATTTTCTGTGGAGTCCCATCAGCACTTTTTATTTGTTGATATCTTGGTGAGCCATTTTTTTCTAGAATGAGATGGAATCTCAGAATTGTTTTAATATTATTCTCTTGAATGAAAAGTGATGTTGAACTTTTTCATATACTTATTTGCATTTTTGTTTCTTCATCTGATGAGTCTGTACTCATCCCAGATGCCTGTTCTAGGATTGAGTCTTTAAATTTGAGGTATCTGATATTTTGAGTTCTTTATGTGTTCTGAATATTACTTTTAACTGAGGAAAAGCTGGAAAAATATTTTTCCCACTCATTTTGTTGTCTCTTAACCCTTTTCGTGGCTTCTTTTTGCAGTTACAAAAGTTTTTAATAAAATGAGCTATCTATTGTTGATTCTTTTTTTTAAATTTAATTTGGATTTCTTTAAAATTTTATTTAAAAGGAAAAAGAGAAAAAACAAAACAAAACAAAGCAGTGTAAGGGTACAAGTAATACAGAACTACAAAAAAAAATCAGTAAGAAATCACCGGTTAATAGATTACATATTATCATCTTAGAGATAGTTGCTCAAATCACAGTATCAAAGCATACAAAGTGGACACTCAAAGAGTGAGACTGCAAACAGTTGTGTTCAATGATTCAACCAAAAACATTAATGTGGTCAGCTATTTAACACCCCTAAACACTCTTGCGTTGTATCATTTAGAACTCTTTTTTTTCCCTCTCTTTTTTACAACAAAATTTACACATTTTGGGTTTTATTACTCCTTAGTTCTTATTACTTTTGGGGGGGGGGAGAGAATAAAGTCAAATATAGCAAAACAAAGCTGTCAGTCAAACCAAGGATAGACATAGCACATGATGTAAAACAGAGTACAAGGTTATCAACAATGGTTATCAACAATGTCTCTTGTTTCCTTAAAAAGAATTGTCTATCTCATTAGATATTATAAAGTTGAACAAAACAGTAGAGAACAAGACCAATAAAACTTAAGCATTGTAAACATTACGGGACTTCCAAAGGAGACAATAGTCAAACCAGAATGGGCATCTTAGTGAATCTTATTGCCTTCAAAGTAGTTGCCTATACCCTCCAACTTGATACTATCATACAGAATGGAACAGAGTCTAATCAGTCAAAACAAGATAGTGGGAGTATTACAGGACTTCAAAACAAGTTAATAGGAAATCAAAAAAGTTACTATTATATACCCTGCTAATTTTTTTTAATTTTTCCCCTTAATTAAAAAAAACATAAAAAATAACTAAATAATTTTTTAATGAATAAGGCAGAGATTGAGATAAAACAGGACATAACAATATAACAATACAGATCAAAGCATGACTGTTTCAGCAACCTAGTGGTTCACCACCAAATAACCCGACTTAATAGTAGTTACCATAGTGTATGTCTTTTTCCTTGAAATATTTGAATAAAACTTCGTATACTATAGCTTCAAGTATTTCCATATCAAGAAGCCCAGAATAAAGCCTTTCCAATTAATAAGTGAAAACTTTATAAGGCTTCAAGGCCCTATTGTTGATTCTTTATATTTTTCATGCAGTTGGAGTTTCGTTCATAAACCTTTCGCCTGTAACTGTGTCTTCAAAAGCTCTACCTCTTCTGTCTTCCAGAAGATTTAGCATTCTGTTTTAATATTTAAATGTTTAAAACAGTTTCACTTTAGTTTATTGCCTGGTGAAAGATATAGGTCTGGTTTAATATTTGAAAAGATCATTTTTCCAGCACCATTTATTAAACGCCTTTTTTCCAGTTAACAAGTTTGGCCTTTTTGTCAAAGGGAAGTTGGGTGGATGTGTTTGCAGTTGATTCTGCATCTTCTTGTCAGTTCCATCAATTCTTGAGTCTGTTTGTGGCCAGTATCACATTGCTTTTATCACTCTAGCTTTGTAGTATAATTTCAAGTGAATGATTTTAATACTCCATCCTTGTTTTGTTCCCCAGCATTGCTGTTGCTATTTTAGGTGTCATCTGGTTCCAAATTAAGTTTGGGAAGTTTTCTGTAATTCTGTGAGATATGCCATTGATATTTTGATTAGGATTGCACTAAGTCTATTAGGAAGTATGACTATTTTCAATCTAATGGTTCTTGCAGCCCAAAAGAAAAGAAAATCCCTCTATTTTCTCCTATCCTCTTTGATACCCTTTTTCAGAGTACTATAATTTTCAGTACAATGTTCTTGTACTTGTTCATTACATTCCTACCTATGTATTTTGTCTTTCTTGGTGCTACTTTGAAAGGTGTGGATTCCCTAATTTCTCTCTTACTGAGTTTGTTTCTTTTGTATAGAAATGCTACTGATTTTTGAATATCAAACTCATACCCAGCTATGATATTGAATTTAGTTATTAAATCTGGAAATGTTTTGGTGGAGTTTGAGGTCTTATGTGTAGGGAATCATGTCATCTTCCAATAGTAATAGTTTAAATTCTCCTATTCCTATCACTGT